AAGCCGCTTTCATTACCTGGTATTCCAAAATGTCCGGTTTGGTTTGGTTTTATTTTGTTTAGCGTCCTTTTAACAGCTTAAGTATTTTTTTACGGAACCCAACATAATGATATTTGATATTTTGAAGTAATATTATGTAATAATGTTAGTATTTTGTGAGTTTGTCTTCTCCTGTGTTAATTAAGAGTTTCGCATGTAATAGTAACCAACCCGTGTCAGGATTATTACTTGCAAACAAAACCAGCACGTGTCGTATCGGCAATGTAAATATTATCAAGCAGAACCTTTTTTTCATATTCGTTTATATTTGCAAAATTTGACAAGCGTAATATGTGTCGTACATGATGTCTGTTTGTCAGCAATATTACAATATTCTTGTCTCGAATTTCAATTATATCAGGCGAATTTCCAAATACTACAGTTCTGAGTGGTATTGGATTTCCGACACTGTGTTGCTTTAATCTTATTGATTATAAAAAGCACGGGATACATGATAATAAAATGTTAATGAATGTTATTGTATGATACACAATAAAATGGTAATTGAAAATGACTCGTTTCCTACTTCTGACATTCAGAGTTAACCACTACGTTCGTAATTATCCATTACGGTCTATAGTCTTAATCGAATTGCGTTTCTCGTCGTTTTACGTTTGTTGTAGTTTTCATTTCAGTCAAAACATAATCCAACCGATTCATTGTGACATTATCCCACTATAATACTCCAGTCCGAACCCTCTAGTCATCTTTCACAGTTTCAATCGATTAGACAGCTATGCAATTCAACCAATTGACAGTCGAATGTGAAGTCATATTGAAACACTTTTTTTCTTTGTAACTAAGAATATGAAACCCATTGATTCTGTGTTCTGTCATTTATCAAGAAACTTGAAATTTCATAACGAATGAGGGTCATACTGGCGTGTTTGTCACTAAAAATAGTTCCCAGTCACTTGCACATGGTTAAAGGAATGCTAAATGCCAAACTTGCTTCATTAAACTAATGATGAATAACATGGACTTGTGAATCATTGTTTATTATAAAGAGAAACTCACTCAAGCTGGATGTTTAAAGTATTTATGCATTAACTACACTTAGACATTTATATTGGGGAAACAATAGACTGTGCATATGAATAATGCTAGAATCAATCAATTATATGTATAAATGTGCTTTGTTTCAAATAAAAAGCAATGGTTGCAACTGCAAATTTGAAATGCGAAACTAGGAACCATGGGGAACCTTTATGTGAAATTTGAGAGAGAAAGACCCTTATTTTACAATCTGAGAAATAATGCAAACAAACTTTAACTCTCAAGATAAAGATGTCAGACAAAAACAGATATGCATAACTAGGGACCATGGGGAACCTTCCGGTGTAATTTGTGAAAGATCCCTCCGGTACTTTCTGAGAAATAGCCCTAACAAACTTAAACTTTGCAGTAGAAGATGGCTTGCTGTCGGCAATCTTAATTTTGTGAACAGCTTCGAAAAAAACGATATGCATAACTAAGGACTATGAGGAACCGTCAGATGAAATTTGAGAAAGATCCATCCAGTACTTTCTGAGAAATAGCCCTAATAAACTTTAACTTTGCAATAGAAGATGGCTTGCTGTCGGCAATCCTAATTTTGTGAACAGTTTCGAAAAAACGAAATGCATAACTAGGGAATATGAGGAATCGTCAGATGAAATTTGAGAAAGATCCATCCAGTACTTTCTGAGAAATAGCGCTAACAAACTTTAACTCTCAAATTAAAATAGCTGGCTGTCGGCCATCTTGGTTTTGTAATTAGTTTCAGAAACGATATGCATCACTGGAGATTTTAAGACATTTTACCCCTGTGACCTTTAAAGTGGGTCAAGGTCATTCATTTGAACAAACTTGGTAGCCCTTCATCCCAGCATGCTACTGGCCAAATATCATCACCCTAGGCCTTTCGGTTATTGAAAAGAATTGTTTTGAAGATTTTAAGACATTTGACCCCTGTGACCTTGACAGTTGGTCAAGGTAATCCATTGAACAAACTTGGTAGCCCTTCATCCCAGCATTCCCAGCATGCTACAGGCCCAATATCAGTACCCTGGGCCTTTTGGTTATTGAGAAGAAGTTGTTTAAAGTAAAATGTTGACGTCGGACGACGGACGACAGACGACAGACGACGGACGACGGACGACACACCACGGCATAGGCTCACTTGGCCCTTCGGGCCAGGTGGGCTAAAAATGGCTGGCTGTCGGCTATCTTGGTTTTGTGATTAGTTTCAAAAACGATATGCATTACTCGGAACCATGGGAAACCTGCATGTATAATTTGTGAAAGATCTCTCCATAACTTTCTTAGAAATAGCGCTGACAAACTTTAACTCTCAAATTAAAAATAGCTTGCTGTCGGCCATGGTGGTGTTGTGATCAGTCCAAAAACATGATATGCATAACAAGGGACCATGGGAAACTATCAGGTGAAATTTGAGAAAGTTCTCTCCAGTACTTTTGGAGTAATAGCACTAACAAGAATTGTTTAAGGACGGACGGAATGACGGACGGACGAACGACGGACCACGAACGCAGGGTGATTTGAATAACCCACCATCTGATGATGGAGGGCTGAAAAGGGGGAAAACTATGAAGTTGAGTAATGACTTTTTATTTAGATTTTTACATGTATTTTTTTTCCTGATTTTATGTTAACCAAGAAAAATTTAGACTTTCTTTTTCTTTTAAGAAACAGTATGTTTTCCAAAGATCTATAGATAATAAATCTTCTTAACATCTATAGATAATGGCTGAGTCTCCCTTGCCTCTTATCTGGAACATACTTATTAACAACACCTCTCCCTGAATAAAAAAATTTGAAATATTGGAATTAAATTGTCAGAAGGGTGGACTATTAAAGAAAACAAAAGATTCCAGGGATTTAAGTAGATACATACTAAAGTACTAATAAATTGCATTGCTGTATTCAAGAATTAACACTTGTAATAATTCATTCAGTTTTGCTTCCACATATTCTCCAGTTGATTCCAACAGTGATGGTAGCTAGAATTTCATGTGGAATAGAATCAAGAGGTGAGTTAACACATATGTTTTGTAAATATTACGGACAGTGGGAAAACTCTATCAGCTTAGAGCGATGGGACATTTTCAGAAATTTTAAGTCAAATAAAAAATTCAAGGATACATTATATGTAAAATTTAAAAGTAATTGAAAATAGGATGGATGCATTTCAGTTTTAAGGAGCCCAGAAACATATATGCCCCCCCCCCCTCCCCCTCTAGAGGATTATCCCTGGAGAATATATTTCTAATATGTAAAGACATATTTAAATCATTATACAATGTTGCTGAGGTCAAGAGCTCAGCAAAGTTACCTACATTTAAATGTCTATAAAAACAAAAAGAAATGTATTTAATTAGTACACAGGAACTTGAAGTGGAAATGTGGAAAGTGACATACTCAGATAAAGAGGCAAATGACTGACCTTAACTTAGGTCATGGGGGTAAAATGTGTTGAAAATGGTTTGGTTTAATGTCCTATTAACAGCGCATATCAGATGTTGACTTTATAGTGCTATCTATGCAAAAATACATTAGTATCAAACAGAGCGGTTGTAAAACAAAAACCAACATATTATCAAACAAACTCTTCACTGTTGGTACATTGTAAGTAATTGCTAAACGGTGGTTGTTCGATTTTAATGTCATCATAGCTTTGTAGGTTATGTGAGGACAGTGTCTAGGGATACGCAGCTTGTATCGGTGGTACAATACATGGACGATAACGTATGTCAATTAATCCGATTGTATATTACGATACTACACACAAGTGGGTGTTCCCCGATGGATTACCGCCTGCATTGGTCGGGAGACTGGCCAGTTCCAATGAAACTGAAAACAATGGTTGATAGGTTTAAGCGCACCAGACTGGTCGAAGAGGGGGACCAAACGAGACTAACAACCCATCCCTAATATAACGGGGTTTTGCTGTGTTTATAAGGTTCAACGACTCATTAACGATTAAGGTCATTTGAGCTTTGGTTCTGTTTGGTTTTACAGGATTTAATGTCTTATTTTTATTTAGGGTCATTAATGGACGTGTATCCAAATGTGTAATATTTACATATACACATGTGTGTTTGTGTACCGGAATTGGTAGTTTGGTTTAATTGCTAAAAAATATTTTGATGAATCATTTGGTGCATATTTTATCTTGAAATGATAAACGTTCAGCAGATTTAACATAGCAAGGGATGTTCCGTTTTTCGTCACAAAACAAAATTAGTGCAAGCTGTAGTGTCCCGCAATGTTGATAACGTTACAAAAGCCGATACATAATTATTCATGCACGCTCATTTCTGACAAACACAAACGTTCTATCGGCCTCGTCCCCTGTTATATCTGTTGACCTTATAAACGGAATAGCAAATAAAGGGGGTGGAATAATGGTTTATATATATTCAAGTAAATAACTATCAACACGTGATTAGGATGAACATGTTATTTTACTAACGAGGATCGAAAAATCGATACCAATCATTACAAGTTGCATTAAACCGCAACCAGATATAATGTTATCTCTTTATCAGCATGATCGCAAAATCCTAATCTTGAATTTTGAATATAATATAAACCTGTAGAATACAAAGGCTAATTTACAAATACTACGTACGAGGCACTTGACATCTCACATTGTGCTGCTTTCATCTTAATTGTTACAAAACGCAGGGGACACATTGGTGATGCATAATATGTAAATGTATTTATATTTTACATAATAAAGTGGTAGACTGTCTGTCGTCAATAGGTCAATCCATACTCTAGTTTCTAGAGAAAATTATTCATTTTAAACCACTGACATTCCGAGTAATCCATTACGATCCTAATTATCCATAACGGTCCCTTACCAAAGTCGAATTGCATTCATGCGACACCCCTTGTTGTTTTTCATTTGGTTAATGTTATTTCTGTCAAAACATAATTCCATTGGTTCAGTCGAGGGATCATTGTGCCAATGATGATTTAATTGTCCCTATTTCAATAATACAAGTTCGTCTTCTCTATTGATAGAAACCCGTGGGTCTATTTATTGAAATTTACTACCAGCGACCTGTCTGGATCTGGTGTTTTTGTTGTGGAACGTCAACGCTGAACATGTAAGTACTTTTATAGTCTGTGTTTTGTATAAACTGCCATACAAAGTACGTTTGTTGCCTTGTTGAGCATTGTGAGTTATCATCATATCACAATAAATATGTGTTTGTTACTTTCTCAATATGTATACAAGATGCTTTTTTCTATCAGATGATTGAAAAACAAGGATTCAGTTGATTCCGGTTTTTTTATCGTCTGTAGGTTAAATGGCGAGTAACAACCCCCAGAAGGTTTGTCGACATGCCAATTCGATTCGTGTATTTACATATCTCGCTTTACATGAAAACAGCACATCTGCAATTTTTGATTTTCATTCTTTCTAGTTTTGGAAGCTTAATGACTAAATCTCTTTCAATATTGACACTAAAGTTTTGCATGTTGACATCACTTTTTTCAATTGTTTTTAGCCAACATTTTGGTATTACTTTCTTAATTATTGATAGTTCTGACAGCCAATTAATCTTATTTTTGAGATTTTCATAAATCAGTCTGTCATTCATTTTTACACTGTTATGCAGTAAGTCCTTGAGGGTTATAATACCGGACTCTATCCATGTTTTAAAATAATAGTGTTTTTCCTTTCATCTTTATGTATTTATTTCCCCATATGATCTGTGCTAGCATGTTATTGTAACGTTTTGGTTCTTTGTTTGGTTCTCTGAGTTTGATCCATGTTGATATGATTTCATAGTAGAAAGGAGATAATTCTTCACTCTTTGGAAGATTTTTTAAGTTATCTAAGTTCATTTTACAGATGAGCATATTGGGGCCAAACATGTCTAGCTGTAATTGTGGGATAACTTTCCATAGGGCCTCCTCCTCTGATACAAGTTTTTTTACCCAATTTATCCTTAATGTATCAATGTGGGATCTTATATCGATTGAATTTAGACCTCCATCTTTGTATGCTCTGATCATTGTTCTCCTTTTTACTTTTTCTCTCTTTCCATCCCATATGTAGTTGTAAATTATCTTTTCAAAATCTTGAATTGTGTTTGTGGGGATATATAACACTGAAATAAGGTATGTTAACTGTGGTACAAGTAATGATTTCACTATTTGTATCCTCCCAATTATAGTAAGTTTTCTTATTTTCCAGTTGTTCACAAGTTTTTGTACTTTATCCAACTTTTCTTTCCAATTGATGTCTAACATTTGTTGCTTTTTTAAACCAAAATGCACACCAAGGGCTTTGATCGATTTCTCAGCCCATGAGATTCCTTCAAAATTGTCCTCAATCTGTGTTTGTTTGCCTAATCTGAGCCCTTTTGATTTTTCTCTATTTAATA